GTTATTTCTAGATGAGTGAAACATGAATATATTGTGGGTAAAAAATAACCTCCCACTTGATACATACTATTATACACACCAAGATCATTTTATTGTGTGCAACATTTTGGAAACACTTGGGAAATACAATAGAGCTACTTGGAGAACAGAGAATATAATTTCACTTGTCATAAGAAATTCAAAAAGAATCACAAGAATTTAGTCTTTACCACTCCCTAACACACAGAAAAGCAATCATTAATTCTTACTTTATTTCACTTCTGCATTTAAAGCATATGGAAGTTAAAGAAACATGACATGTGGTTCCAAAACTTGATAATGCATTCAAGAATTTCATTAACGCTACCTGAGCATCATATATTCTGTGCATGGCTTGAAACAACTGATTGATGTAATTGGATATTGCAGCAGCATCTTCTTCAAATACTCCCAGCAAAGAGCGGGTCTGTAACAATCAAACAGCCAAAACACAACCATGGCAAGTTAGAAGAGAGGAATTTCAATATAATGGAATTTCAGACTTAAATAGCATTATTTCAGGTTTCATTACTGAACATTTTATAAACCCTCCAATACTGCTTAAAGGAATGATACCTGTTGCATGCCAAAGAATCTTACAGATAGCCAAGCTCAGCCTTCCTCCTACTGTCAGCCTCTCTCCAGGTTAATACATTTTCAGAAAGGAAAGGGCCAAGGGAGATGGACAACTGTTAAATGTTGAAACTCTGGGCAACTACTGGTCTCACTATGGTACATCCCTGAGGAGGGGTAAAGATTACTGGTATTAAACAGCTTGCCAGGTATACACATTTGCACTCCAGTGAGATCCAAATAAAGGCTGTGACTGTCTCATACTGTCCAACCTGAACACAGACAGTTGCTGGTTTTGCTTGGACCTATAATTTACCTGTGGAATAACCATCAATTCTGTGGTCAAAAGGTTGAGGAACTACACCAAACCAAAACAAACAATACAACCTGCATCTGACTGTCCTCAACATACATGTTTCTCACCACTGAAAGAGAGTGAAACGATCTGTCCTCACCCCAGCTTGTCAGTCTATCTGTTCTGTAGCTGGTGTTACCCACAAGCTTGATGACTCCTGTGTCCAGCTGCAATCCTGCATCACTGATGGTGCTTCACAACCTCCACCTCAAAAACCAACCTCATTTATCACTGGCCACCTATTAGACTAAAACATTGATCTCCATCTGTAAGCCCAACTACCCAGCCAGTTTTTCCACTCAGGTCACAGTCCATCCCTCTTCCCTTTTGGGCAGAAGAATGTTGCCAGACCGTGTCAGAGCCCTTGCACAAGCCAGGGTGACTGACATCCCCTGCTCTCCCTCCTGCCCAAAGGGCTGACTCGATAGGAAGGCAATCAGGTTGCTCAGGTGTAAGCTTGAGTGAGATGCTGACTGCATGTTCTTGCATCCTTTTTGCACTTGGAAGCAAGGTTATTCCTCCTCATTGTGAGGATTTTGAATGGCTTCCATCCACCAAAATTCCCAAAGAGGATGTCCCAGTAACTCTGCACAGGCCAGACTGGCTTCTCTTAAAACACTGCTTGGGATGCTTGGCTGTAGAAAAGGGAGCAGCACTTGCAAGAGCCACAAAGGAAATACTCTGGCAATGTTTTAGCAAAAGGACCATGCTTTGTTTTTAGGTTTACACTGAAATTAATGTCCAGGCAGAAAATTAAAAGAATCATAAGCACATTAGTGCTTTTTTTCCCCAAACTGTGATTGTTAAACACTTGAAATTGGAAGTTCTGTTTTTTAATCTACCCTAGGCTGTCTTGCAATTACTGAAGTCTTTAGTCCATCTCTCCTTGAAGCATGAAGGTCTTTTTCAGCTATTTCTGATTTTTTGCTTTTAATGATAATCAAAGTATAATCATATAAAGTATATAATCATATAAAGTATAAAACTTATATAAAGTATATTATTTAATGATTCCTTTTGACCTAAGATTCTTTTATCTAAGTTGCATTAGATGCCTGGCTGTATCACAATTACTGTCATGCTATATAATGTCTAAAAGATATAATCAAACAGCATAATCCGCATAAAAATAGCTTTAATGCTGGTTCTAGTTTATAAAACAAGTGGAAAGAGGTGGAAGAGAAGTCAAATCTTTGCCAGGTGTGGCAACATGTGTCACAGCCTTGACTCTCCCATTAAGGTAGACAGAGACGGAAGAATGCAAAAGAAAAAATTACATGGTACTATAACCACTGAATTATATACTCGTGACCTTTAAACCTGAAGAGAAATAAACCTGAGCTTGGAATTTTAAAGGAGTATTATGTAAGGTTTCTGGATTATACTAACTCTTTAAAACTGAACATGGAAAAAAAAAATATTTTTGTTTTACTTGAAAAATATCCGTTATTGATGTTCAACATCATATGATACTAATGGAAAGAAATTAACCTGAAACTGTAAATAAATTATGGCAGACTTCTGCTTAGCAGAAAATGAGAGCATTTGTTTACTTATGTTTCTAGTAAAACTCTGCATCATTTTGCATTTTCTTTAGGATTCTTTCAATCCGTGTTTGTGAGCAAGCAAAGAGCAAAGGACCAGGGAGAAGCTGCACAAAGAAACCCCTTGTCAGAAGTGAGTGTTAAGCGTCCATGCCATCAGATGGAGGGCACTGCAGGTGACAGGAGACAGAGCCTGTGCTACCAGTCTCTTGGCTTTTTGTTGTGCAATGCTTTGGGAATGCAAATCAGTGTGAGCAGAAACTCTCTCTAAACACACGCTGAGTGTGTGTGTAATGGATGTCCTAGGCTAATAACTAAATTGCTCTGTTTTGCATAGGAAAAGACTATGTAAACTTGGTGTTTGGTTTAGGCCTGACAAGCACAGTGGTTAGATTTTGTTCCTGTGACAACAGGAAATGAATGGGTTTGGACGTTTTTGAAAAGCCTTTCCTTCCTCAGACACAGAGTAAGTCTGATATGAAGTTTATATACCTACAGTCAGTGTCTGAAACACGAACTGCAGGCCATGGTGCAGCACTAAACAACCACCCAGGCTGATGGGCTGTGCAATATTGACCATGAATGTATCCAAGTCATGGCAACTCCTCCAGAGAGAGGCTTCTGCTTGCTCCAAGCAACATTTGCTGCCATTTGCTGCACTGATTTCAAAGTAACAGAAATTAATTAATGTAACAAATGGACTAACCCAACAGAACACTGAGTCCTTACTAGAGGACCTGGGTCCTGGAGCCACCTGAAATATTGACTGAAAGATGTAAATTTTCCAGCTACAAAAGACAATATTGACAAATATTTTCTACCTACAAAAGACAATACTGACAAATCCAATTACTTAAGCATCTCAAACATATCGGGCTGAATCAGTCTCTGCTTGTCTGTATCACAGCTAACCTCACACAGAAGATTCTAGAATTACAATTGCATTCTAATAAGTAACATTTTTTCAAGTGCTTCCCAAATGTCCTCAGATGGTCCTAAGTTCATGTCACATTTGACATTTCCTATAAATTCCGAAAAGTTCTGACTTCCTTATACTAAGAAAAGACCTTCAAGAGATAATTTTTAAAAATCAGCATTATTACAAGACTTTCAGAATTTTTTCCTCTTCATGAGATCACAGCAGGTTTGGCCTCTGGACCAGAACCCACATTAGAGGCCAGATCTCATCTCACATTCAGCATTTGAGCTATCTGGGGCACTGTCCTTAGGAAATCAAGTATTCCTTTTCTGCATGGCCTTCTCCTGCCTTTTTAAAGTCGTCTTTCCACTTGATATAAAATTGTTAAAATAACTGTCATTTTAGGGGCTATATTTTCTTTTTTAGCAAGTGAAAGTTTCTCTTCCTGTAACTTAGGAATGAAAACTACAAATGCACATGCTATTGCAATATAGGACAAACTGCTCACTATACAAATCATGCACCAGAACAAGGACCTTAATTCAAAAGGCTGCCATAAAAGAAAACACATTGCAAACTTTCTCCAGCATCTCAGAAATACATACAAGGACTTGCTCTTGCTGCTGCCAGCAACAAGAGAAACCAGAGACACTGAATAAATCATTTCCTACTTCAGAACGAAACTCCAGCGCACTACAGAGCATCGCTGACACACGCCAGGCAGCAGCAATGCCAGAGAAGAGTCGGAGCGCGGAGAGGCCTCCGGGCACCGTGCGCTTCCCAGCCGCTCCGCACTGAGCGCGGCCGCGGTAAGCTCACCCAGCAGCCGCTCCTCGCACGGCTCTGTTCAACCTTAACGCGCCTTAGAGAAAAACAAAGAGGAAAATCGTTTTGAGAAGGCAGCGCGGCGTTTGTGAGCACGAGGAGTCCAAAATCGAGCCTGAGTGCGAAGGCGGGGGTGGGATCAGAGAGCCGCTGCTGGTGCCGGCACTGCCCTGCCGGAGGTGCCGCAGCACCCGCAGCTCCCGCTCCCGGCCCGCAGCACTCCCGGGAGCGGCGGCGGGGCCAGCGGAGCTCCGAGCGGGCGTTCGCAGGGCACGGCCGGGGCGGAGAGCCCGAACCGAGACCGCCGGAGCCCCGCGGGGCCGAGCAGGCAGCGTCCCCGCCGCGCTGCTGGGGCGTCACCCTTCCTCCCGGCCCCCGCCGCGGCTCTCCCGGGGCCGGGAACGACAGGGAAGCAGCGCTGGGCCCGCCAGCAAGGACTGGGCCCGATGCGGCCTCCGCTGGGCCCGTCTCACCTGCGGGCTGTCCTCCAGCGTCTCCTCGATGGGCAGTTTGTCGATGCCGGGCATGGCGGCGACCGCGCTGAGCCCCCGCGGCCCCGCTCCACCGCGCCAGCCCGGCCGGACCCGACCCGCGCCGACCCCCGCCCGCCGCGCGCCGGACGTCCCGCCCCCCGCACGCCCCGCTTCCCCATTGGCCCGCTCTCTCCTCTCACCCGGCTGCCCATTGGCTGGCGGGCCTGCCCGTTCGCGCGCAGGCGCGGGGGCTGAGGCGCTCGCGCGCGGCTCCTGAGGGCCGAGGCTCGGGGCTGGCTCGGAGCCGCTCCGTGTGGGGAGCGCAGCGGGGGCAGCCCGGCAGTGCGGGTCACGGCTGTCAAGGAAATTGTCCTCCCAGCCCTGTCTGTGCTCCGGTGGTGGTTGTCGTCTCCTCACAGACAATTACCTTGAGGGCCGCTCCACAGCAAGGGAGCGCTGCTCGGTCCCGGCCGTTCTGGAGCATCTTTGGCACTCTTGCCATGTTATCTGGAGCATCCCTTTTGGCAAGTCTGTTATCCCTGACATGTTTATGGGCCCCAAGTGGAGGCCAGTCACTTCTGTGCTTGCAGTGAGATCACAAAGAGGTCTTAAGCTGAGACAGGAGAAATTCTGATTAGATATTAAAAAATAGCATCTCTGCTCTCTTAGACTGAATAGTTGTGGTACCATAGGTTGGTGGGAAATTTTAAATACTTAAAACTACTGTGAGGGCTTACTGAAATCAAAACGGGTCATTTATTTGACTTGTGGACTGGTTCAGCTTGAAATTACTTAGAATTGTAGAATCCTTCAGGTTAGAGAAGACCTCTAAAATCATAGAGTCTAACCATTAATCCAGCAGCCCACGTTCACCACTAACCGTGTGCCCAAGTGCCACATCCTCACATCTGAACACTTCCAGGGATGGGGATTGTCAGTGCCACCCTGCCCATGGAGAAACTTTTCCCAATATCCAATCTAAACGTTTCCTGGAACAGCTGGAGGCTGTTTCCTCTGGTCCTGTCACTTGTTACCTGGGAGAAGAGACTGACCCCACCTGGCTACAATCTCCTTTCAGGTAGTTTTAGGGAGCAAGACGTAGTAGAATTGATGATAGTTTTTAGCTGGGAAAAAAAAAAAAATGCTATTCCCTTGTTGGTTTTGCCTTTTTGGGACCAGGTGAACTTAGACTAAAACCAGATTAGAAAGTACATGAAGTCATATAGCAGAGCAAATGATGAATGATTGTGCAGTCTTGCTACGAGACCATTCTTTATGTTGTATCAGGTTATGATTTACCATCAAAAGCAGATAAAGGACAGAGTGGTGTATTAAATTGCAAACAGTTAAAGATTTTTGAGGTGGCTTTTGTTTTGTTTGTTGGTTTGGGTTTTTTGGTGGGTGATGCATGGGGTTTTTTTGTTTTTTTTTCTGTTGTGTTGTTTTGGTTTTCCCTGTAGGGAGTGGTGAAGAAACTTCCAAGTTAATACTGTTCAGTCAATTAATTTACCAGCTCAGCTGGTGACTCACCTGACTGAAGCAAGTCACAGCACCTCTCCCTTTCCCTGTCAATAAGGGTAATAATTCAGGTTGTCTTACAAGGTGTTTTAAAGACTAAATCTTGTATCTGCAGCCATGTGACAGGACATTAACAGTGGTTCATGACCAATAAATAGATGTGCTTTCTGGTTTTGAGTCAGTTAACTTGTGACCAAGCTTTACAGCAGTCTTTACAGCAATAAAAAATTACTTTGTGTCGTACTGTAAGATCATTTTCCTAGTGGAATTCGGGAAGGTAGTAACTTTAAGTGGATTGGGTTTAGTTAGCTTTGTGTCTTTACAGCTATAAGTGGCATCCAAAAGTTTTACTTGAGCTACAAATTGGACTGCAACAAATGTAATAGTAATGAACTGAAGAATCCTTCTGCATCCTGTAATTGTGATTTTAGTGTTACACTGTTTTCAGCATTGTAGACCTTTTGTTAGTGTGTGAGGGGTTTTTTGTTGTCTTTTGGGCTTTTTGATTTGTGTGGTTGAGTTTTTTGTTTGGTTTGGGGTTTTTTTGGGCGGGGTTTTTGTTTTTTGTTTGTTATATTTTGTTGTTGTTGTTTTTTCTGCAAAATATCTGCTAAAAAGCCTTAAAAATGAGGGGAACTAGCACTTGGCACTTTGTCAACAGAGAGAAGAGCAGTGAACACCCTTCAGAGGATTCCAGATGTGTGCCCTTATGGAGAAAACATTTTGCCTCTGCTGGAGGGTGAAAGTAGCTGAGTGGATAAGGTAGGCTTTATTTGCAGTGTTTCCCACTTTTTAACTGTTTTTTCCCACTGTTTTTCGTACTTTTTGCTAGTGACCACCTTGGATTAACCTTGAATTTACTTGCATTCACTTAATCTCCCTGTGTCAAAATAGCTTTTGCTTCAACCAAGAAATAGCTAACTGCTTTTGTTTTCTGAATATTTGTGTTACCATTTTGAGGTATTCTTGCTTTAACAAAACTTGGGAATTCTGAATTGGCTTTGAATATAATACTTGTTATTCATGTTAAAAACATATTTGAAAGAGAGCTTTATGCAGCATAACTTCTGAGGTGGTGAAATACTGGGTAAAGAGGTTGTGGGAAAGGTGAGGTGAAAGGCGAATTTTTGGAGTGTGATAAGTAATGAAGAAAGACAACATGTACCATTTATACCCTTTTAAAAAGCTGAAAATGTTGCCCAGGCTCTAGCGAAAGGTGACCCAGCAGTGGGTGAGAAGAGCAAAAGGCAGCAAGAGTAAGAACTGGGCCTTCAGACCAAAGCCTCCAAGAGCTCTCCTGGGGTCTCCTCAGCTGATGCAAACAGCCGGTGGAGGATTCCCATCTCTGAAGAAGGAGAGCTCCATCTCCTAAAGAAATGAACGCCACTGTCCCTGGGCAAAAAACAGTGCTGCAAAGTCTGAAAGGGAGATTAGTTTCCTGCCTCATCAAGTTTGTGATGCTGTAAGAGGATTGGATTTGCATATCCAAAGAGCAGTGAGTTTTCCTATTATTGATTACTTAGGATTCCCAATTTAATGTTTGCTGTGTTGCTCTAATTATCCCTACCAAGGTATTTAGTTAAAAGTCTGCAGGTAATTTCAAATGGGTTGCAAGGTAGTATTGGGCAATGCTAATGGGCCAAAACAATGAAATACAGTTTTCAAGAGAAGGCTTAAGGTCCATAAATGGTGACTGGAGCTCATCTTGCAAGTGAACATTGCAGGTGGATGCATGCTCCTTCAAGATCCATTGATATGTGTGAGAAGTGTCCTTGGTAAGATCACTTCTGGAATTGTCACTCTTTTAATAGTTTGGTTTGACAGCAATCTTACTGCACAACACAGGCAGGTCAGAAGGAGAGGTAACTTTTCCTCCTGAAATAAAAATATTTTGTTCATGTTTGCCTGTTATTTTTGGATAAATATTGATTTTATAGTGTCTCTACAGAAATTCCTCCTTTTCTTGTCCTGAACCAAAAGCTGGTTTTGAGCATGTGATGTAAACTGCTGTGTGACTGACAGATGAGCTTGAATATAAAAATGTTATAGTCTGTATTTTATTATAATGGATGAAATCAGAATTCTGTCAGACTTTATTACAAAACCTTTATCTCCTTTCTTCCCATTACTCTTTTTTTTTTTTTTTTGTGATTTTAAATGTTGACTCTGTAGGATTTAAATATACTTCTGTTTGCTATAAACCTACAAGGAGGGAGAGACATCTATGAGAAAAAGGATGCTTTTAAACCTGTAAATTTGAGTGTACTGCTTCTATTCCTTGAAGTTTTGCTTTTATGTAGTGAAGAATTATCAGGAAATTTCACATCTGGTATGTTTCAAAAAGGCTGCAACAAAGTTATTTTAATAAGAAAAATGAATGCATGAATTATTTAAAATAGTTGGTGCAACTGTTCCTATTAACTAATCCAGGCACTTGGAAGGCAATTACACTGAGCTTTGACAACACTGCCAACCCACTGCACAGTGCCTTATGCCAAAAGCTATTGTTGTTTTATTGACCACGTTCACCATTACATATGCATATGAAAAAACAGAGGCATTTTCATCGGGATTACCCTAATAGCATTAAGAGATTATTTTTTAAATTTCCTTGGAAGGAAATTCACTTAAATGAGATTACTTATTACTTGACTGGTTTCCTATCATGCTTCTATGTTTAGGTAAGTGGAGTCCATTAGAGTATGAAGTTTTTTTAAAAACTGATTTTATACATTAATGATTTCAAATAAAAGAGAAGTACTATATTTGTGCACAGCTTCTTTTGAGAAAGTGAAGTCGATGCTCTGGTTAGGAGAGATAACACTTTTTGTCCCCCTTGGTGGCCCCCCTAGTGTCACCATTAGTTGCTAATTACTTGCAAACAAATAAACAATTAACTCCTCGTGCCTCTTGGTGGGAGAGTTTTCATTGACATGCTAAAACTTTCTAATAAAAGATTTTAATTAATGACGTTACAAATCCAACCCCCTTGTCAACACAGCTATAAGGAGGACCTGTGGAGAAATGCAAGTACAGTACCCCGGCTATGCTGGCTGAGGGCGAAGGCATGGCCGGTCCCTCGCTGTGTGCTGCCGCCACAGCGGCCTCTCCGGACCGGCACAAGGTGCCCGGCTTTGGAGACAGTAAAACCACACACTGCTCCTTTTCCATTGAGAGTATATTGGGACTGGAGCAGAAAAAAGAAGGCATTGCAGCTGGGAAACCTCACAGACCCTGGATGGATGCATGCACCAGCTTGGGTAAGTCAGTCTGTTTTGTAACCTCTTAAGCTTTTACCCTTTAAAAATACTGGCATGTTTCTACTACAAACCAGTAAATTGAAGCTCTGCTTTTCTTGCTCTTTCTAGTTTTAGGTGATGACAGTAATCCCCATCTGCAAATCCCTGTTGTTTGCTATGAAAATCCATTATTTAATACTAGAAGTGATCCCGTGCAAGAGGAAAACGTTTTGAAATGTGAAAAATATTTTTCAGTCACTGAAAGACTGTCTTTCAAACGAGAATTGAGCTGGTACAGGGGTAGAAGACCAAGAACTGCATTCACTAGAAACCAGGTAGGGCTTTCCTTAGCATTTAACAAATGAGTAACAATGTAGTTTAGTAAAATGTTGGAAGAAACCTCTAACAGCTGATAAGTTCGGTGTGATACACCTCTGCAGAGAGAAATGCAATCAGGAACTAGTGTGAATTAACAGGAATGTTGCTGATATCAGCAGATCTGTGTTTATGCATGGAATCAGAATTGTGCAAACACTGATCAGAAGTCTCCTGTTGAACAAACTAAGCTGTTATTTTATTTATTTTATTTTTTACTGCTATGAACATAGTGTTAACTATTCAACAAGTGTATTTTAATCTCCTCAGATTGAAGTCTTGGAAAATGTTTTTAAAATGAACTCCTACCCTGGCATTGATATTAGAGAAGAGTTAGCTCGCAAATTAGATTTAGATGAAGACAGGATCCAGGTAATTAAAGATTTCTTTGAATTTTTCTGTAATTCCAGCTATATGTGCTCTCTGCTTATGTAGATAAGTAGTCTGACAGCAGTAATGAGAATGTTAATACTCTCAATTTAAATCTGTGTATATACATGAGACATGCCTTCAATGATTTGTGAAATGGAAAACACTGAATTCCTTCTGAAATCTAAAGCCTTCCATGGCACTGATGAGGTATTCATCACTATAATATTTCCACAATATCTGCTCTGTTAATCTCTAGTTATTATGTGCAGAACTTGATAATTTCCTTAAAATATTTTTTGTGTTTTGCTTGTCACCATATTTGAAAAATAAATTTGAAACAAGTATGGACATAATTTGTGAGACCACCAGCAGAGCATGGATGTGTTAAACCAGTGTTTGAACCTATGTCTTTATCTGGCCAAAAGCAAAATCTATTCAGGGATGTTAATTATTGATTTCCAGGTAATTCAATGTGATAAGAAGCATACTGTACACATAAGAATTCGGGCTTCACTTTGTTGTTTATCAGGCTTTTGTTGCAAGTATTATATTGGGCTTGATGAGAAACTTGGTGCTGCAAATAGTTAAGCAGCTGAAGAAATAGCACCATAAGACATGTGTGAATTCCAGATGTTCAGGATCTTCCAGGATCTGATTCTGTCACTGAATTTAATATCTCTTTTTATATTAATTACAGTGAAGCTGATCTCATTTTCCAGGTAACCTGGGGATATTATTTTCTTTGTGGTGATAAAATTACAGGTGCTGTCATCTGCAGATTTTAAATTTATATTGAACTTGCAAACTGCTGTTGTCACACAAAATATTGTCATGCTGTGTGAATACTTTCAAGTTTCAAATATTATTTTGCTTCCACTGCTGTGTTTCTGAAAAGCATCCCTTCTCTTTCCATTTTAGATCTGGTTTCAGAACCGTCGTGCAAAGCTGAAAAGATCACACAGAGAATCTCAGTTTCTAATGGTGAAAAATACTTTCACCTCCAGCCTGCTGGAGTAGAAGGAAGGATGGCTTGCTGTTACAGTACTGCTACAGAAAATGAAGAATTATTCAAAACCTGTATTAAGTAATGATATAGTAATTATGATTTTTTGCCCAGATTTGAAAGTTTATTATAATTTTCATTCAAATAAACTGTAAATACTTGAAGCATTATTCTAATCTACTTTTTGGGGAAAAAGTGAACTGTTCCTATATATATTTGAGTAAGTATTTTCAGAGATTTTTTGAGATATTTTTGCAGTTTAAAACAATGCGAATCCTAGGTTGCACAAGAATTTCAGCTTCTGTGAATTACTGCAGATGACTTGACAAGTTTATGGTTTTAGAAAAAGTCTGTTTCAAGTCTGAAATAAACTGTATGCAAAATAGATTTTGCTACAGGAAACACTTTGTCGCATTGCAGTTTAAAAAACTTATTTATAAAAAATATTATAGTTTTAATAAAGAAGATAATTTTTAGAAAAAGGTGTCTCCAATGGAAGGACTAATATTCAACTGCCTTCAGTTTTAACAATTGCTCAGTTAAAAGAAGCTGACAGTTATCTTTTTATGTGATTTTAATTAATTTAGGTTATTTGCCTATTTAATTCTCAAATTTGGTTATCTCCTCGCTTGTCAATATAACTGTTCTAGTTATGGAAGTTGCCCTATTATCTTTTAATGACAGAATTTAGCATTTCATGGGATCAGATCAGTGGGGCCAGACCAGATATCCAGATCATTGCCATTAATTTTAGGGTGTTTAATTCATTTTTATCAAACAGTCCATGAAAGTTAATTATCCTCATATTTGATATTGAACTTGAAGTCAAGGAGAGCCATATATGAAAAAAAAAAAACAAACCTCAAATCTTTCTTCACGGGCACAATGTAGGGAAACATTTTGAGTAGAGGCTGATGCTGCTCTTTGTTCAGCAGAGCTCTAAGCACTTGCCTCATGTGCTGGTGACCTTCAGTGAGACTCCAGCTGTGTTTCCTGCTCGACATAAATTCTACATTATCTCATGATCAGAGAGTATTGCTCTTCCTTTCTTCATGCTTGTATCCATAGCTGTTGTCCAATAGGATGAAAGGTAAGTTGATAAAATAGGGTGATAGAACAAATCATTTTATGTAGTCTCATACTAGGAAAAGCTAAAGGGAGGGATGATCTGACAGTCCTTACTTAGTATTTTGAATTATAGTTTGAGTTACAAGAGATTAAATAGAAAACATTTCTATATTTTCTGAAGAATATCACTGAAAAACTGCATTACTTTAGAACTGGGTGACAGATATTGGCCCTTCCGTGTTTTTATCTTCTTTAGCTCATTGCCTTCACTTCTATGCAGAATCCTAAAAATCTTGAATTGTTTGGCTTTGCTCCTGGAAATCTTATTTTGATACGGAAATAACAAACTTTTATCTGCTATTGAAACATTATTTTTTGTGCTTTATTGGATTTGGGAAATAACATTCCTAACTGAACTCTGTTGTATCCTGCATTCCAAAATACTTAAGAGAACCACTAGTAAAGCAATTTAAATTGAGCTAGATCCATTAGGAATAGTTTTTAGAGAAGCTGAAATCTCAATTCAGATACCTGCCTGATCTGGTAAAGGCAAAGACACTATTGGGAATGCATTCTTTTATTTTGTTTTTCTTCACACCTCAAAACGTATATTGCCCAGAGCTTAACCTTATTGCAGGTAATCTGAAACTATTGTCTGCTTTGGTTCTGGAAACAAAGTTTCCAGCAGCAACAGATTAGACTAATCTGTACAGATTGATTGCTTAAGAACCTTACTCTATTATCTGGCAAATACCTAAATACACCTAAAGTCTGCTCTAATGGAACTTGTCTCAAGTGACGGAAGTCTGACAAAGCAATTTAAGAGAAGCAGTAGAATAGTAGCAGAATAATAATAGCACCAGCCCTGGTATCCTGCTCTCCATTAGCAAATGTTACCAGCAGGATCTTTAGTGTGAGGTACTAGGAGTGTCCCACACAGTGCTAAGGGGAAAAGAATTTAAAGAGTTGCATTATTTGCTTCATTTGGCTTAGCTTGTTCTTCCCAGAGTAAAGGAATCAGCAAGTCAAAAAAGAGCCTCTCACTTCACATTTATACCTGCTTTGGCCAGCGTGGGTTTAAATTGTGCCCATCAGTTTCTCAAATACAGCTGGATTTTTTTCTACCATGAAAATCGTTAGTCTGGATTTCACAGGGTCTTTGTCTTGTCGTGGCAATACGCAGGGCTCCCTTGGCAATGGATGTGACAGTTGTGTTTCCTGTGCGGGAGCTGCAGTGGGGGAGGCTGTGGGCAGAGGCCACCCTGCATGCTGCAACCCAGCCCTGCTCCAGTTTTGCATGCTTTGCCTTGCAGTGTTTCTCCTTGTCTCTCTGCCCTTCAGAACATGGAAAATCTCAGTCTTTTTTGTTCTAGTTCTGGCTTAAGTTCATGAAACCACAAATTTTGCTTCCAGCCACGTTGCCTTGCTTTGGCTCCAGTGATCATTTGACCCTTGTGATAAGCTGATACATTAACTAAGATGGTGAAAAAAACTGTTCTAGCAAAGAACTCTCTGACTGAAGCTGTCATGTCAACAGCCACGAGCAGGTACAATACAGGCTCTGTCAGGTACTGATACTCTGATACTGGGTCTCTGTCTCTGACTGTAGTGGGGCCTAAATATTCTAGTAGTGTTTTTCTGAGGTAGGTCCAGTACCTGTGATCCTAACTGGGATGCTGGGCTGCATAATAATTTGTTTTAAATTGATGTTCTCTTAATTACTGTCTCCATATTAAATTTTCTCTAACTACAAATTTCAGCAATGCCCAGTGTTGTCTAAAAAAGCTGAGCATGTCTGTGGTCCAAAAGCAGATTCATAGTAATTTATACCAAAGAGCCAATGTTCCCAAAGTTCTGTTGTGATGTTACTTGAAGCATACATAAAAGCATAGTTTAAACTTAAATGTTAGCATCAAAAGCCTAGATTGAAACAGCATTCATTAAATTGTCATTTAACACTTTGAATTTGCAATTATTTAGTTTGTCAAGTCTGTGCTTACAAATAGCTAGCTAGCACACCAGCAAACTACATGTTTTGATTTTTGTGGTGTGTGTGGATGCATCTACACCTAATTTTTCTACTTGTTCAAAGTTTTGTATTGGAAATACTTCTGAAGAGATTAAACCTGTGAGTTCTATAGTTGTATGTAAGAAGATTAACATTGTGCTCAAAGTGTTATTGGAAGGAAATGTGACTTTAAAAATAATCCAGCATTTTTTATGTGACTGGATTTTAACAGAAGCCTTGTATAAAAGCAGTGTAAAATAATTTGCAAATGCCTTCGGTTTATCTAACATGAAAATAAGCTTATCCTAAACGATTGAGATCAGCTCTCAGGTTTAACTAACAATCATAGAATTAAGGCTTCCTAGAAATGGGTTGTAAAACAACTCTTTTATTCCATAGATTGATTTAGTTTCTGTATTAATTGTTAGATTGATGATCTTTGTCACTTTATTTTAGAGGACTTACATAATTGGATGGGAAATATAAGGTATTTTATTTTTAAAAATACTTTGGAGCTATAGTGATTGACATGAATTATTATTTCATGAACTGTTATTTGTGTAGTGGATTCATCTTGAGTCGAAATCCCATTCTGTTATTTTATATGAGCTATTTATAATATGTATGTATTTGATAATGAAAGAGTAAAAAGACAAAGTATAATAATCATTATATGAGGGGGACATAAGGATCCCACTGATTGCTTCAAAAGGGGAGCTCTTGTGGTCACAGTGGGCAAACAGGATTGTTGGTGAGGGAGAGGAATCCAGCGCTGCTGAACAGCCTTCAGTCCTACATTCCTTTGTGGAGGAATAGTGCCTGGACTTGTGTGACATGAGGGGAAAGGGCTACACAGAAAATCTGGAAACCAGTCTGTCTATTTTGGGCACCCAAAGTTGATACTGGTGGCCAGCAGCATTTTCAGGAGAATCCCAGGAAGAGTGAAGTGTTGCCTTGCATGGCCCAGTGTTACCAATGAAGTTTTGCTTTCTTAGATTAACTAGCAAATTGGAAAATTAATCATGTACTGGTTGAGAGTAGAAACAGCAATAAATTGGATTTGTTTTAGTACCTATTTTTTTCCAGGACACTGTTTATTAAGCAAGTAAAGTAAGAATATGATCAGAAATGCTTAGGGATATATGGGCTTTGGTGTAGCTGGGTGTGATTGCCAATGACTTTCACACCCCTAGGTATGAGTTATATTTGATCACATGGATGTGCTCTGGGGCTGGTGTTAGAGTGGCAGAATAAGTACTGCATTGCTTCTGCCTTTAAAAATAAAAGGAAAAAAGAGAACAAAAAGCAGTGAAAGGATAGATTTTGCACGTGTGTTTTGATCCATGCTGTGAATCAGTAGGTGTGAAGTCCAGCAAACACAGTATGTTGAGGAATCACACAGGTGCAGGTAGTGGTCTTGATATTAAATTTCAAGCAGGGTCATGTGGCTTGGGATGTTGTAAGGATGTGTATGTGTGACCAGTAAAATTGATACAACACCTAGACTGAAAGAGAAGTGAGCATTCCTTCTTTCTGCATTTATGTTTGAGGATTTTTTTCTCCTAGCTCCTAAGCCAGGTTTTCCTCAGCCACTAGGATAGCCTGAGAACACCATGAGAACACTCTCTTCCTTAATCTTGTGCAATTTGGAGGTAAAAGGACAGAAGTAGGCAGGTGGTAGAAGATAGTCCCCTTCATTAAAAATTATCTATCTCATTAGTCTTGTTATTAATCACTATGAAATTTTGGGACTTTGCAATTTTTAAATTGCATATGTTTCAGACTTGTTATCTCATTGTGACCTTTAAAAAAATATCCATAACCTTGCATCAACTCCATTATTGTACCTTCTTTTTCTCTGATCCTTTCTTGCTCTCTTAGACCCAAATTTTTATTTTACTAGTCCATGACATTTTGCTGCTTCTAAGGTTTTAAGGG